TAAGGACGAAAACACTTCGGTCATTTTTTGGGTCAGGTCAAAGGTCAGGTCACCAGAGGTCACCAAAGGTAAAATGTTGACTATTTCAACATTTTGGAAACTGCCGACGGCTATCTCGGGAACCGATAGAGTTACAGCGCCGCGGAAAAGCGCATTCGATAGCCCTTTCACATACCTTTCTGATTAACCCTATTCCTGGCGGGCTCCGCCGGGACAAGAAACTGGCGGGGGGGGCCGATTCGGCCCCCCCCCTGAGATCTCGAGAACGAAGCAAGATAGCGACAAGCGGTAAACGGCATCGGATACGCACGGCCAAGATCTACAATTTTTACTAAGGTCATTTTCAGGTCAGGTCAAAGATGACGTCACAGGGGTCGAAAAAGTCAAAATGGCGGCACTAGATATGGAGAGAGTTTTTCTCGAATAACTTTCGAATTAGTCAAGATAGGAACAAACTAAGGGCATCATCGTGATCCTCTCGTCAATCCGCATCGAATGATATATATGTTGACCTCGAAAGGTCAAGGTCAAAGGTTGACCTCAGGTCACGTGACCTCGAGGTCATCATGTATATCATTCGATGCGTCTTGACGAGCTGAACACAATGAGACCATCCACGCGTCTGTATCTTGTTCCTGTACGGAGTTATTGGCCAAAAACCTTTGGTGACCTTTGATGACGTCACATGACCTCACAGCTGCCCAACAGCAAAACAGACCTCAAGGTAGTGAAGGTTGATCGTATATGAAGTCATGTATGGTATATGGGGCCATTCCGACCCGTTTTAGTGATAAAAACAGGGAGTTGATTTTTCCCCCATTGACTTATAATGGGGAGGTCGCGAAATTGACCTGACCTTAGGTCACCGATATCAAAATTCCGAGATATACAAATTGCACATACTGGTACCCTAACTAAACCCTGAAGAGAAGAAATTGATCGGTCAAAAACTCTAGCTCTGGCGTGATTGCAAACTTTTCTGAGGTAGCGTCACCAAACCGCCTCTGGTGACCTGACCTGAGGTCAGATCAACTCAAAATTTTCAGACATGTTGCGTAGAAGCCTTTTAGGAAAAGTCAGAAAATTTGAGCTTCCTAGCTCAACGCGTTTGGGAGATATAACCAAAAAACCTCAGGGGGGGCTCCTGAGGCCCCCCCCCGCCAGGAATAGGGTTAATGTTCTTAGATTTGACCTCAGGTCAACGGTTTAGCCTCCAGAGGGCAAAAACTCCAAAAATAGCCGTTTTTACGAAAAGCGTTTTTTCGGCAATAACTTTTGACTCAAAAGAGCCATGACATTACTTTTGCCAGCATCGTGTTCCTCTCGTCGAGACACGTCGAATGAACTATAATTTGACCTTGAAAGGTCAACTAGAAAATTTGACCTCAGGTCAAGGTCATGACGTGACCGGAAAAGGTCATGTTGCATATCAGTCGATCCGCAACGTCGAGCCGAACACATCTAAGGCGTTTTCAACGCTCTAGCACGCCTCTATCAGAAGTTATTAGCGAAAAACTGTTGGATTCTGTTCGTGACCTGAGATGACCTCTGGGACATAACGAGGGGTCACAGTTGCCATTTTCCGTTTCAGTGTGTCAATTTTACCTACATCTCGATGTTTTAGAGTGTCTAGAATAGCGTTCGTGCAAAACAGACGCTTTTCAATTTTCTCCCTTTGACTTATAATGGAGATCGGCCGCAAAATTGACCTGACCTTAGGTCACCGATATCAAAATTCCGAGATATATGTCTTAGGCATCGGGTGAAATACGGCATTTCATGAGACATATACATTTTATAGGTAATGTTGCTCTAATCAATCGCTGAAAGTTTCAAGGCAATCGATCAGTCGGTGTAGCTATGATGAGCATTCTAATTTTTTTAGGTGAGGTCACTTGGCGTGACCTGGTGACCTGACCTAAGGCGACCTGGGTCTGAAATTTTCACAACATGTCCGGAAAAGATGCACGAACAGGTGTGCCAAAAACTTGTTTAGATATCTGCGAAAACCGCAGGGGGGGGGGGTGTTCAAACACCCCCGTCCCGGCGCGGGTTAAGGCCGCTCCACACTGGACCTCGCATGCGGGTTGCTAGTTTTTGGGTTTTCGGGTTTCTTTAAAATTAAGGAATATACTATATGTTGAGTGACCCACACCACCATGTAACAAGCCAGTCTGCATTTTTTTTTAGCATACGAGCCAACTTGCATCGCATTCCAAAAATTGATTTTGAGTCAACTTTTGCTTTTCCTCGCTGCAAGGGCTACGAGTTTTTGGTGCGTTTTGTTGAAGTCGAATTTTGGTTCGTTGTGCTGCTAGGTATTGCGATAAGATGCGATTTTTTAGGGTGTACCGGCTTCACTGCTTTCATGTAGTGACCACATGAAAATGGTTTAATCACTCCATGAATGAGTATTATACCCGCGAATCCAAAACCCGCCAACCCGCAACCCGCACGAGAGTTCCAGTGTTGGGCGGCCTTTAACACGCGCACTGCAGCTGGTTTGAGCCGAACACGAACTGCAGGGGGGGGGGGGGTTGAAAACAACCCCCCCTGAGATCTCGAAAACGGCGCAACGTAGCGACAAGCGGTAAACGGCGTTGGATAGGTTGAGATGAGATCTACAAGAAATACTAAGATCATTTTTGGGTCAGGTCAAAAACGAGGTCACCAGAGGTCACCGAAGACAAAATGTTACGATTTTCACAACAGGAATTTCGCGGTAGTTTTTCTTGAATAACTTGTCTTGCACACAAGACAGAGGATCGATTCGAACGCCATCGTTCTTAGCTCGTCTAGGCGCATCGAATGATATATGATATGACCTCGAAAGGTCAAGTTGAAAAATTGACCTCAGGTCAAGGTCATGACCTGACCGAAATAGGTCATGTTGCATATCATTCGATCCGCATTGACGAGAAAAACACGATAAACGTCGAACGGAGTCTCTATCTCTATTCAATCTCAAGTTATTGAAGAAAAACCGCTGGTGACCTCAGGTGACCTAAGATGACCTGGAGATCACCTTCCAAAGGTCATAAGTGATATGTTTCGGTGAAATCACCAACAGGGACCTGTAATACTATGATCCTGAGCGTATTGAAGTCATAGGATGGCATTCAGAGTAAGTTGAAATTTCTCCCATTGACTTATAATGGGCCGGTCGCAAAAATGACCTGACTTTAGGTCATCGATATAAAAAATCCGAGATATACAAGTTGTAGCTCGTGATGACTTTACTATTTCCTGTGGGTTTCAAGATCATATCTCAACAACTGTGGGCTTGGTGGGATTGCAAACTTCGAAATTTACGTTTCGAGGTAGGGTCACTTGACCTGACCTGGTGACCTGACCATAGGTCACCTGGGGTCAAAATTTTTACTCAAGGTGTGCAAAAGTTGGGAGAACAGGTATGCAAAATTTGGCGGCGCTACGCGCCGCCGTTTTCTCGCGATTTGCGAAAAACCACAGGGGGGGGTTGAAAACAACCCCCCCTGCAGTGCGCGTGTTAACTGCATTCAAAAAATAATGTTATCTCTATCAAGCTCAGGAACCTTCCATGTTGTTAGCAGTCTGGGTGCAAAATTTGCGGGGTAATGAGGTCTACATATTTTTATTATAGGAAGAGTAGTACGAGACTACAAACTTTGCATATTGCTACTGAGAGCTACTCTATAGACATGTTCGCTTTTCTATTACGAACTTTCTATGCTCTTGGTTTTAAAGCTAATAGCCGTTCTATCTGTCCGGATGGCAGAATGATACCGATGCATAATGTTGCGTTTTTATCCTAACTAAGCATGAGTTTCGCTGAAAAATGAGTGTCTTGCTCTCTTCAAGAAGAACGGAATGGTATGCAACTTTGATATCTCAGATTCTTTGATGACCTATAATATGAATTGTTCGGCCAGCATCTCTAAACATGAGCTTTGATTTTTGGCTAGAAGGCAGAAGCAGGGTTATAGCAGAATTATGAAGATTGACACGTATGCCTTGTCAAGCTGTGCTGCATGATAATTTTGTTTGTAAAAGGGCAGATAATTTTGTTTGGAAAAGGTCATGACTGACCTCATGTGACCTCTTATGACCTTCAATGACCTTAACAAATAGCTAGTGAAACATAATGTTTTCTCAGCACGTGCTCACCAATCACGAATCCATTTTTGTCCAAGCAATGATTGAGAGGTTCTGGATAGCTAAAACAGTAGAAAATATTGACTGAGTTTGATGTCCTTCCAAACATCTGCTTCTTTTTTACAGTGTATAACATTCCGTTAGATTAGTATCGAAGCAATTTTACATGGCCCAGGGATATAAATTAATTGACCACCGCCGTAGGCTACCGCCGCAACATGTGTCGCTTGCAACGCATTTTTTTTTCTTTTTATGCGTCATATCGGCAGAAGTTTACATTGCGTTCAGAAGTTTCTGTAAACGCCTTTTTGGGGAGTCAAACAACAATGATTGATGCATAATGCATAAATGATTGAGATGCTCCCGGGGCAGTAATCGCCACGCCATGTGTGGATCGCCCACGATCGTAAATACATATTGCATACATAATGAAAAGTCACAACGTAGTTCTAAAACGGATGCATAAATACTAATCACATTAGTTAAAATAATCCTTTATCAGGGTCACCCCAGCCTTACATGTATGCACGTTTTTTTTTTTTCTGTGAAGTTTTAACTTCATCTACGTCTTCATTCAATGTACATATTTTGCGTTTTCGAGCTGAATCAACCTCGGAATCGTTAAAACGTGCGCAGTTTCGACGTCTAGCATTGCTCTCATTTGTTCAACACGATAGTAATTTCCTTCATCGGTGCTGAGTGGATTATGCATTCCATGACGCTGGAAACCATTGATATCTATCAGACCTCATGGGTGCACACATTTCTTACTATCAGTATCGGATCATTTTAATGCCGCAGTGCAGATTTCACGGCCGGATTCCGCTCGCTACTGCATTACGGAGACGTCCTCGGCCCGGGGCGGGGAGACCGCGGGGGCGCGGGTGGCCATGGCGCTGTATAAAAGCACCGGCCGGCGGCCACAAGGCATCAGTCCCCCACCTGATCCGCTCCCAGACACACACCGACCTCCCCGATCAACATGAAGACGTTCGTAGCCGTCTGCCTGCTGGCCTGCGCCGCCGCCTTCCCCCAGGAGTTGGCCTCGATCGAAGGCTCCGGCGAGCCGCCCGTCGAGATCGTCGCTCGCTCGTCCTCCAACATCGACAGCAGCATCTTCAGCGACGACATCCTGCGCTCCGAGTTCGAGATGGCCGACGACGGCCAGTTCCAGTACGGCTTCGAGACGAGGGACGGCATCGTTGTCGACGCGGCCGGCGAGAACCGTCAGATCGGCGACGGCGTCGGTGCCGTGATGCGCGGCTCGTACTCGTACACGTCGCCCGAGGGCATCGACGTGACCATCAACTGGGAGGCGGACGAGAACGGCTTCCGCGCCAGCGGCGACCAGGTGCCGGCGGTGCCCGAGTACGTGACGCGGCTGCCGAAGACGCTGCCGGCCGAGCCGCAGGCGGCCGGTGCCGTCGGTGCCGCCGAGCAGGCTGTGGCCGCCGTGGAAGAGGAGGCCGCCGCTGCCGCTGACGCCGCCGCCGTCTCTGTTCCCGTGGTGTCGGCTCCGGCGGTGGTCGTGGCCGACCCGGCCGAGTCTGTCGTTCCCGACGAGAGCGCGTTCATCGTGCTGGAGGCCGACTCGGAGACTGCTGAGCAGGAGGAGCTGCTCAGTTAGAGACGCCGAGCCGTCCGGTCCCCGAGACTCATCGTGTCGGCCCGCCGGGTCCGGCGCACACCACCATATCATCGTCAGCTGTCATCTGTTAATGTGTGATATTGACGCGCCTCATATTCAATATGGAAACAGATCATGTTCTGTTGGCTGCTCCTTGACCTTCGTGTATGTGCCATGGAGTGTGAATGAATGACAATACATTACTGAAACATCACTCAATATTTTACAAATCGAATTTGCGATTGAAAATCTTATATTAAAGACGCATCTGGGAACGCGTTCATCTTTTCTAAAAAAAGGAATTCCGGGAAGTATATCATATCCTAGGTAAATTGAATACAAACTAAACGTACTTCTATGCACTTCTACCAAGGTTCTTTAATCGCCTGCTTCTCAACTTGTACATAAACAATACACTTATGTACACTCAGTTGCATTGAAAACGCTTAGAAAAAATAATAGAAAAGCGACATGTTACCGAGAATGTCGTAAATTCTTCCATGTATTTTTAGTAATATTTTCCCAATCAGAAAATGGTTAACTCTATACCAGAATCGCGAAGCATCGCCGCATTATGAAAACATTTGGCTCGCTATGATTTTTTTTTAACAAGATTTTGATAGAATGCAATCATATCGGGTAGATCGATGGAAAAAGTTTAGTTACAGCGCTAGTAAACATTAATACGAAGGAAAGATGACAAAGACCACACTTCATGCCATGGGTGGAGCTTTTCCAGGGAGGTTAGTGGGGCAAAAAGTCGTGAAACCGACAATATCCGATTGTCAACTTGAATAAAATGGTAAACTAAAACAATTCCTGTCATTACAAAGATAATATCTTGCATTGCAGGCATTCCAAATCTCGTCAGTGCGAAAAAAAATTGGCAAAGCAACCAAGAAAGTCCTACAAATGAGCTGTTGCTGGTGGAGCAAAATGCTTATTGGTGGGGCAAATTTGCATGTTGTTTCGGCAGCCGCCGCTCCAACTGTATAGGAAGCTCTACCTCTGCTTCATGCTGATGCCCATATTCGCATAAGCTATTATTGCTGCCACTGGGCACCCGTCCTTCAACAGCGCCACGGATAGGGATATATTTCTTTTGTGTTGATATGTTTATATTGAGAGGTTCTTGTACTTTTCTTGTAATTGAGCTGGAGTATTACAAAAAAAAAGCGGACTACAACTCTTATTGAGAGGCATCGAGCTGTGTCAGTTTTGATTTGATACCTCGGATTTCCTGGTGACCTAAGGGGTGTCAGGTCAGCATCCAAAACACGAAGTTTGCTTTGTGACTAACTTCAGAAAAAAGACTAGCAAAAGTATTAATAAGAACACGTTTGTCGTGCAAAGATAGTCGTAAGATAATTTTGTTTTGAAAAAGGTCGCATCTGTCGTCAGGTGAAATCATGACCTGGAATGACCTTAAGCAATTGTTTATCAAACATGTTTTCAATACACCTAATCTCATATCACGAATCCACTTTTGTCTAAGCAATGATAAAGAGGTCTTGGATAACTTAAACCAAGAAAATATGACTGAGTTCGATGTCAGTAAAACACTCCGCATATTATCTACAATGCATGACTTTGCATGACCTTGGCATCGAAGTTGTCTAGCATGGCTCCAAGATGTTTAGATTTAGATTTATATTTTAGATTTCATTTAGTTAACAGATTCATTGATTACTGTAGCGGTTATGTTACCTCTGTATCGCAAAAACATACGCCAGAAGAAGGCACCACGACTCCCCAAGATCGCATTCACAATTAAAAATGTGCATGAATCCCAGAAAATGGATCTGGGATTTAAGCCCACAGATCCTGATCTCTGATCCTATGGGATCGTAAATCCAACTCTTGAGTTTATCGAGAAATCCATTGGGATGATACATCCGAGTATTTTTTTTTTAGTTGAGATCCAGCGAGATCATAGATCCTCACTTATTTATATTCAACTTAGAAATCCCAAAGATTGACTTGTTGCAACTCACAAAAGTTCTGTTTTAGTAGTTGTATGTGATTAAACGTCATAATTCATAGTTCTGTGGCACTTATTGACATATAAACCCTTGGAAACATGATTTCAAATGTTGTGCATGGTGGGATGCACTCGGATGAGATCCATGTTCTTTGGTTATCACAGAGGTCTATGTTATGTCCTTTAAGAAATATTTGTTATTCTTGTACTACATCTGTAGAATGTTACATTGTATCCAGCCATGTGGATAAGCGCATTTCCGAAAAGTCATTATGAATGACTGATATAATGAAAAGCCATTATTATAATTACTTAATTCTTAAAATGCATAAACACTTAGTAGATGAACTAAAAGTGCCCTTCCTCAGAATCAACTTAAATGCTCGGTAGATTTGTTATACAATAACTTTGTCTACGTCTTCATTCAATACTCAGGGGGTGTCGAAGTCTAGTAGGAAAATCTGGCAAATTCCCTGCGTGACGTCACGTCGGGGATGACCGACGGCACCTTGCACTGAAAGATACGGCAGAACGGCTATTTTTGAAAAATGATTAAAAATACTTTTGTGCTGTTATGACGCATAAAACGCTTATCAGCATGTTCCTCATCAAATGATAAAGGCATATCCGTGGTCGAAAATAGCTGAGCCCCTCCCAATTTCCAACCACCGACCTCATAAGCAAAGGATGTAAGCGTAATCCTTAAGGGCGACTTTCCTATACATATCCGTACACATGCGTCCTTATGGAAATCGGTAGTGTGGCGATTGGCGACGCGCGCGACATCTGTGTGGCGACCAAGTGGCGACTGTGGCGACACCTGGTGGCTGCTTTTCTGCTGTATGTAGGCATTGGGGTTTTGCCAGATGTGGTTCCTACTGCTACACCACTATGTTGACCCAATACTAGAAAAGTTATTTTGCTAGTAAAAGGCAAGCAAATTGAAAGTTGATTTATCAAATTGCTTATAAATGATTACGAGATAATAATAAAGAAATTTTGATTGAATAATTATTTAAATAATTAACCGTGAAACTATATTCTGGTAGGTTTAGTAGAAATAAGTCCGTGCAACCTTGTATTTAGGGCCTTGTCAATACTGATATTTTGCGTTTCCTCCTGAATAAATCTTCTCGGAAACGTTCAAAAATGTACGCAGTTCTGAGTTCATACGGCTGGTATTTCTCTCATTTTTGTCTTATTCAGCTGACACGATAGTAATTTTCTTCATCGGTGTCGAGTGGATTATGCATTCCATGACGCTGGAAACCATCGATATCTATCGGGCTTCATGAGTGCACACATTTCTCACTATCAGTATCGGATCATTTTAATACCGTAGTGCAGATTTCACGGCCGGATTCCGCCCGCTACTGCATTACGGAGACGTCCTCGGCCCGGGGCGGGGAGACCGCGGGGTGCGGGTGGCCATGGCGCTGTATAAAAGCACCGGCCGCCGGCCACAGGGCATCAGTCCCCCACCTGATCCGCTCCCAGCCACACACCGACCTCCCCGATCAACATGAAGACGTTCGTAGCCGTCTGCCTGCTGGCCTGCGCCGCCGCCTTCCCCCAGGAACTGGCCTCGATCGAAGGCTCCGGTGAGCCGCCCGTCGAGATCGCCGCTCGCTCGTCCTTCAACATCGACAGCAGCATCTTCAGCGACGACATCCTGCGCTCCGAGTTCGAGATGGCCGACGACGGCCAGTTCCAGTACGGCTTCGAGACGAGGGACGGCATCGTTGTCGACGCGGCCGGCGAGAACCGTCAGATCGGCGACGGCGTCGGTGCCGTGATGCGCGGCTCGTACTCGTACACGTCGCCCGAGGGCATCGACGTGACCATCAACTGGGAGGCGGACGAGAACGGCTTCCGCGCCAGCGGCGACCAGGTGCCGGCGGTGCCCGAGTACGTGACGCGGCTGCTGAAGACGCTGCCGTCCGAGCCGCAGGCGGCCGGTGCCGTCGGTGCCGCCGAGCAGGCTGTCGCCGCCGTGGAAGAGGAGGCCGCCGCTGCCGCTGACGCCGCCGCCGTCTCTGTTCCCGTGGTGTCGGCTCCGGCGGTGGTCGTGGCCGACCCGGCCGAGTCTGTCGTTCCCGACGAGAGCGCGTTCATCGTGCTGGAGGCCGACTCGGAGACTGCTGAGCAGGAGGAGCTGCTCAGTTAGAGACGCCGAACCGTCCAGTCCCAGAGACTCATCGTGTCGGCCCGCCGGGTCCGGCGCACACCACCATATCATCGTCAGCCGCCATCCCTGTTGCTTCATGATATTAAATATCTCATATTCACATTCGAGAAGAGTAATCAGATTGTACCGATCGGTTGTCACGTATCCCTATGCCATGTAATGGATGACAAATACACAATGAATGAAAAGAACGCTCTTTGGTGTTTGGGAGACAGTAAGGAAACACATCGTCTCTATCGAGCTGGATACTGATTAATTTTGTACAGTTAATTTTTCAGGTACCCAATGATTGTCGTCTTCAGGGTGCTTAGAATTCATATGTTACTCGTATTTCTTGCGGGTTTATTCAAACTTTTTGTGTCATTTAACAGTGGCTACTATTTGATGAACTCGTTGCTATCATTTCTTCAATCGGTTGAGCAGCCGAAATTGCCTTGAAAGAAAAACAGATGATAAGCATATAGCGTGGATTGGAGGCTGTTGTGCACTGACTTCACCAGCTCGATACTTGCGATTTGATATGGAAGACTAAGCAGCATGAAAGCCATCCGTTTCGATGTTAAATATGCCCAGTTCTTGGACAATCTAGGGACTTGAACAGAGGCATATCAACGTCTTTTCTCCATTCACCCGTGTTGGTTGATAGCTGTTCTCGTTCTTCGCCTCCGTGCTGACTTTACCTTCCAGTAACAGTGAGCGGACATTTTGACCTTTTGTCGCCACCTCGACTATTTTTTACCCCTCCTTTGACTCTCGACGGGATTTTTAACATTTCCAAGCCAATAAACTGACCTTGGCTCTTCATTTGCTAGTGAATTGACTTTTTGACCCGTCTTTCAATATAAGACTGACCTTTTTACTCGTCTGTCACCAGTCACCACTATAGCGATTTTTGACCCGCCTGTCGGCACTAGATCAATCATTCCGTCGCCGAGAGTTGAGCTCGAGCTTTTCTCGTATCCCGACTGTCCCTACTGGACTGACCTCGCGACCTCTCTGTTTTCAGTGAGCTGACCATTTGAACTCTCTGTCGCCACTGAGCTGATCTTTGATCCCTCTGTTTCCAGTGAGCTGACCTTTTGACCTCTCCGTTTCTAGTGAGCTGACCTTTGATCCCTCTGTTTCCAGTGAGCTGACCTCGTGACCCCTCTGTTTCCAGTGAGCTGACCATTTGGCCCCTCTGTTTTCAGTGAGCTGACGCAGATCGTCGCCGATGTGATATCAGACCCGACCCTGCCCCGGACAGAAGACCACGCCTGTCCGGCCTGCGACAACCGAGAGGCTGTCTTCTTCCAGGCACAGTCCCGACGAGCTGAGGTAAGCAACTGTGTGCAAGAAAATGTCTCATCCTCTTAAGTTTTATATAACGAAACCCAATTGAAAAGTACCAGTCGCCATACAATTCCATAACTTTTTGTAGCCTGGTCCTCTCATAAGCCTGCCATGAGTAAGTCGGTCAGTTTCGTCTCTCACGCACGCAGTCCCAGCACCACTCGTCACCCTGAACAGGTCAGGTGGAACGTTGCAGACCCGAGCGGGTCACGACTGATGGGCGCACTCGGGCCACTGTCCACTGGCTGGCACAGCGCGATCACGCAGTGCTCCTGTCTAATTGGATCGGTCGGCGTACTCGGTCTCTGTTCGAGTTCACGTCCTTATTACCGTTGCAAGTTAAGTATGCATCAAGTAACCATATGCTGTGCTTAAGAAACTCATCTACTTTTAAAAATAGGGATTAAGTTTAAGTTTAGAATAGTTTTGTGTTCACTTGCTTTGCTAACTGCGTGTATTAATTTTTGAAATAAGTTCATATTCGCTGAAATGCGTTCACTGATTCAGTGTGACCTTCTGGTGCTGGCTTAAGCCTTGAGCACTTAAACATCAGCCTTGTGTTCGAGATTTCAAACCGGATAGTGTCAGCATTGGCGGTCCATATTCCGATTGACATGGACGGGCTCAAGCCTGTGACCACCCAACGCCGAATATTTAGTGGCTAATGGCCATTGGCCATGCACGGGATTAGTCTGTCAGCGACTGTCGGGACAGATCAGACGGAATGCTTACTGTCCTGTCAGGACAAGGCTACGAAACGGCCTTTGTGTGACGGCGAGCCCGCTTTGAGGTGCTCATGCTCGTCACTAAAAAGTAACCTAAATTATATCCAAATACATATTTTATCGCTTAGTTAAGTAATTACCTAAAGATTTCAGTGATATTTGTTCGGAGGTCATGATTTTTATTTACGCCCCTATACGCTTACAAACAAACCAGCATGGAGACCTTTGTTGCATTCAGAAGGACTCGTTGCATTGTTTTTTGTTTACATTTCCGCTTGATTCGCAAGTTTATAAACGTGTACGTATGGGCTCCGTCCTTTCCCCGGTTACTAAATAACAGATATATTAAAATGTCATCTGTTTTAAATCATCTATACAGAGGAGAAGAAGGCCAATTGACACCCATTTACCAACATTCCAAAGGCACTGGAAACATTTTGAGCGTAGTGGCTTTGCGGTAGCTTCCTCAGTTCACAATCAAGGCTAACGTCCTACTGGAATTCAGGTTTAATTGGATGTAAAGGCCATGCTAGACAAGCATCCACCTACTTCAGAATTAACTTACAATTCGATGTAATCGGCTGTGTCTGATCGCGACTTTGGTCACGTCATAAACCCCCTCGATGATATTCAGCATGTCAGAACGAAACCCTGCTTACGTCTTTGCGATAATTATTTGCATTCAGGCTGAATGACAAGCGTCCTTCCAATAAATCCCATTTTATTCAGATCGTTGCTTTTTGTCTGGCCTATTTAGTATTTAGGAAGCCGATTGGTATCGGACATCTGTGGTAAATACTTTAGAAAATTGAAGGCCCGCTTTAACCCTCGCGGGCCCGGGGGGGGCGTTTTTCGCCCCCCCCCCCCCCTGGCGAATATTTGCGATAACTCCCGAACGCTTAGGGATAGGAAGGCGAAACTTTTAGTACCTTTTCTCCCATCAATTTGACATCTTCTGAAGTAAAAAATTTGGACCTAGCCCCCTTGATGACGTCACAAGGTCCATTTTTCTAGACCCCTGCACGGCAAACTTCGGCGTCACAGACGCAAACTTCAAATAGCTGCTAAAAATAGAGTTTTAGAGATAAAGACAAATTACGAGCACGGGTGTGTAGCGTTTGACCTAGATAAAAATAGAAAAATAGTTTTGGTGACCTGAGGTCAGAGGTCAGGTTAACGACCCCGAAATGTGGTTTTAGTTTTTCGCAAATAACTTCGACAAAAATGGTCCTAGAGCTACGTCAGTGGTACCATCGCATTCGCCTTGTCAAGCCGCGTCGAATGATATATATTTTGTTCGGAAAAGGTCAAGTTTCATGTTGACCTCATGTGACCTCGAATGACCTCTGGTTGACCTTGACACATGAAAGGTCGTTTATGATGGATTTGTACCCGCTGATCACGAATCTGGCATCTATTTTCCTCTAAGCCTTCATTTAGAGCTTCCGGATGGCAAAATTGTCTTATTTGTTATTAATAACTTGAATCAGTGAAATAGCCTCTAGCAGGGATACTCTTCTGTGACCTTGACCTTTGAACAGCCTTGTATCGTAAGATGAACCACAAATAGGGAACTGATAAGCCTCAAAACATTTCAAAACATCTTGGAAGTTAGCACGCAAGATGTGCGAAAAAGTGCCAAGTTTGAGGTCAATTTTGAGCGTGACCTTGACCTTGACCTTTGATTTGGAGCACATTTTCAGAATCCTCAGATTCTCTTCTTTCGTTTGACACCCAATTTTGCCGGTTTGATGCAGCCTGCCGTCCTTTAGAAGGCTTACTTTGAGATCACTACACATGTGCCGGCTTTGGCCTTTGACCTTGACCTCTGACCTTGAAAATTGACCTGAGGTCAAATATTTTAGGTGCACTAGAATCGTCTCGTAAGGACCTTTCGTTTGGTATCGCTTTTGTTTCCGTAGCTCCCTTATTTACGGAGTTCGATAGGGGGGGGGGGCGAAAAACGCCCCCCCCCCGGGCTGCGGTGGTTGGGATTACCCCCCGGGCCCGGCCGGGTTAATGGCGTTGCTTGTTCAAGGCTCTGTTGGGGATGGTAGTTCCTTCAGTCGCGGTAGTTAAATTAGATACGGCAGTAGCGTAAGCAGGTAGATATGCCAGGTGCAAATACCTTGCCATGCATTTAAGGCATGCTTGTTTACTCTAAGTCGCATTGCTCAATGCTCATGTTATCTGGTCAAATTGTCAGACATGATTATTTTGAGCCCTCGATCAGCTTAACAATTCGGATACAGTTGTGACTTTCCGATCGTAAACCTTCGCTACCGCTTAGCCGTTTTCTGCGCATGTGTATTGACATTAGCGCTTTTATCGATCGACTAATCCGTCTCAGACAGATGCTCGCGTTTCAAAGGGCGCCCCAAAACTGGCATCCGGCTGCTGGATAGACAGATTAGAACCTGTGGTGGCCGGTTTAGTGGATGCCGAGGCCGACAGACCCGCTGACGTGCGGAGCATATGCCTTATATGCCTGGAATTGTCTGTCTGTCGACTGATACCTACACTAATGTCAAGTGGACAATCCCGTGAGGTCCGGTAGATTTTGAGTGGCAGATTGTAATGAGGAACTGTCGCGGAGGATTGTCATGGTTCGGCATTTATTGTTAATTTATTACTCGATCACGCACAGCTTGCACTTGCAAAGAGAGGGAAGTTCCCACTTCGTGTTTATTCGCTTATGTACTTAAAGTCGCACCTTCGAGAGTTTTAATGCCGGCATAGTAACAGCAGCCGAACCGCTCCTGCCGGTTTCGACCCATGGCGCGTTGCGGTTTGTTTGCTAGGTCGACTGGGTTTGACTATAGTGATGTCGTTTGTTGGTTTGACTGAGTCTGACCCGTAACCTCCCTTGCATTGTGGCTTCCCTAAGACGGCAAACTGACCTCGCCCCACCCATCCTGGGCGGCCCCGAGTGGCCTCTCCCCTCCCATGGTTCCCCGACTCTTGGTTCCCCGACTCTTGGTGTCTATAACTGACTTGTGTGACTACCCTCCCCAGATGTTCCCGACTGACCCCCTCCCCCCTTTACTGGCCCTCAACTGACCCCTCCCCTCCCCGGTGCCCCGCAGGAGGAGATGAAGCTCTACTACGTGTGTACAAACCCCGACTGCAAGCACCGCTGGTCTGAGTGACAGACACCCGCCCCGCCCGTACCGCCCGTCCGTACCGTCACCCCAGGACGCCCCCGCGCCGTCACACCGCCCGGGCGTGACGCGCGAGGTCGGCCGTCACGTCATATCGTCACATCATCGCATCACATCCTGTGCGCTGATCTGCTCGCTCCATGCCCTCGCCTGTCGCTGGGAGGCGGCGGCTCTGTGACACTCTGCGCTGCGTGGAGGTGTGTCGCCAGCTCGTTTTTTGTCATCGTCTCCAGTGTGCGTGGCTGGTGAATACAACTGGCCAGCGCTGTTTGTCGGTGTGTATTGTTGATGGCGTGGAGCGCCGTGGCCGGTCGCTGCTGCCGTCCGAACAATGATACGCTCGGGTCAACCGACACCTCTGGACGGCGCGGTGCGTGCGCAGAATTAACCAGCTCGCCAGCTCTGAGACACTTTTTTCCGGGACGTATTCGAGAGGTGGTCCGCGACTGGTGCTGCCACTCAACGGTGGATGTCGGTACTACCGAGTCAAAACGGCGGCTGGAGCTCAACGATTTAACATTTTATTGCTAGCGCGTGTTACATTTACAATCTCAACAGCGTTTTTCACACATAAGCTATCGCGCACTTAACATGAGACTGGCGGGACACATGCTACTATTACCGGCCCTCATTTGTCCATTTTTCCGGCGTCTACGCTTCTAGTCTCCACGGCAACAAATTTGCTCATCGGATACCGTAGAAAGGGAGCGCATTCCTCTGTCCTACAGCGTGTCACGGACATAAAACTTTCGTACATCTAAAGCACACTTCACATGCCCCATTCGTATGCGTATTATACACTCTTGGACAATGGACATTCTGCTTTGATACACGCTGTGAACTCTACCTCGCTATAACCATTTACCTCGTCAATCTTACTCTGCCAATAAGCGCACAAAACTCGTAGCCGCACGGGGCATCGCGAAGCCTCGCGTTGTTGTTAGACCACCAACGTCACTACACAAGATAACACTAACAAAACGGTACGGTTCTACCGATGGAGCACCACACAACTCTCACAATCTTATCTGTCGGGCACGTGTACGGTCATAGCAGGTCACGACCTCAGATTATCGGGGTCATGACCTCTTCTTGTTAGGGTCACGGTCATGCGGAACAGTACGTCTCCTTCGTGACGTCACCTCAACTGCTCCGAGTGATTGAGACCACTGCCTGTCCCTTTAATCACCTCTGTGGTAGCTGGATAAACCGGATCGCTATCCTCTCGGCGGGATTTCCCCATGGATCTCGTTCTCTCGGTGAGATCACCGCGGTTCGCTGGCGTTCCGATCCGGACCGCTCCATGAAGGGCGGTCGTGTCTGTTCACTCTTGCTTTCGTCTGCGGTGATGCTGTCACCGTGAGCAGGACACCGACCAATCACAGGGTGTCCGCCTGTACGAGCAGCTCCTCGATGAACGCCTATCGACAGAGGGTTGAACACGAACGTCAATACTGGGACAGAAACTATGGGACCAATATGCAGGGGGAGGAATTGACTGCAGGGGAAGGCTCACAGAATTTATACCATTGAACAAATCGACGTGTTTTTGTAGACATACGAGTATTTACCCGCTCATTCGTTCCTCAAGATACCCAGGAAGGAAAGAGGCGTTTCTGCCCACACACGATCTGAGATTTGTCTTCTGTAACAGTCAGGTGAATTGGAATCGTCTTGATGTTCTCAAATCAAGAAGCAACCAGTGCTGCGTCCATTGTCTCATTATACTAGGCATGATAACTAACTAGGACAAGTTAAGCATTACATAAACATTTTTTCCACTGCACCTGGAGAATACAGTCGTTACCGCATTGCGTTCCGAAGACTAAACAGGTTTTGTCTTCACTGACCGCCGGATCAAAACTGACAAGGTCAGGGCCTTACAAACCTGGATTTCACTATGCATGGGCGTGTTTAGTTACACTTCCGTGTGTCAGTGCGACTTGTGTTGCGGTAAGAGCGCCTGATTCCGACGGTTTCATTTAATTACTCTACTTGATGGGGATCCACATAGATGCAGAGGGGCTCCAGAGGTTACTTTTACCTTTCATATCCAAGTGCACTTACTATTTAGGTGTCGCTCTAACATAGCAGAGGAGCGACAAGACTGAGAGATGAGCTACGGTTCCACGGTCCACCTCAAGTGCATTGCTCACTGCTTTGGTGTTCGATTTCATTACATTTGTTTCATATGAATCACCTTTGACTTTCGAGTTTATCACATTTTAGATTCTTGGACGCCTGAAGACAGTTTTGTTGTCGGTTAAACGGTAGTTTCGTATTTCCAGATTATCTTAGTAACAAGCCGCAAGTTCCTTGAGATTTGCGGTCCCGCTTGGTTTTAAGGTGAACCGTTATTTATATTTTTGTCACATCAGGCAGTTTTCTCTTTCGTTTGCTACCGCGCGCTACGGAGATGTTCTCTGTTCGAATAGGAGTGTCACGATCCGAAGCCACTGTAGTCAGATTTGTTCGAAAGGTATGATTTTTATATTGCAATCAACGGTATGTTATCGCGGAACCACTGTCTGGAATGTTACCTTGTCTCATTATGCCGCGTCGTTTTTGTCCAATGTTGGATGCTTGCTAGATGAGGAATCCTCAATGTGGCCTTCTGCCGTTACATGCCCTGCTCGTTACATTCATTTTTTCCAAGCACATGATGCGCTATATTTGCATTGACGGTTTATGTGACTCAGATAGCTGAAGTTGACGCTCTAACCAAAGGGCTTCCCTGAGCAGTGCATTCGATATTACAAACATCCAATATAGGTGGATCTAATTCCCATGAACTGCCGAACGTCTACGCATCAGGAACATTCAATCAATGGTATGCATGTAATTCGCCTGGTAATGAATTTTACGTCGTAGTTCCTTTATAGCAATGCTTATGGAATTCGATAATCCAATCTGTAGCATCTTAAATGCAATCGATGAATGACATCAATAACAAGAATTTAGGGCGCGACTTTGGCTGAAGGTCCTCTTACTTCATGACACGTGAGTGGAAAACGATATTAATCGGAGGTAGCCGGAGGGTGTGGGGGTTGGCGAGATCCCGTCAAGTTCCTATCTACCGGGATGTCATGTATCGAGGCCATGTCGTCATCAATGACAGCTGGAAAGACTAACGAGCTATCTGCGAAGTTGACAGTGTCAGTGGATTCACGTTACCTCGGAGAGCAAGGGGGCCATGTCAATCCGAAGTTCAGAAATGCTGGAACTTCTAAAACCAAATCGGTGTTATTTTTCTAACAGTGAAAATCACTAATTCATCATTTCAATAGTACCTACTCTATTGAGCTGATTTTAACTTTTTTATTTTCAACATGCTAGAATTTCAATCAATCAATGCGTGGGGACCTTATAACTCCGGCATGGGACCCCAGAGACTAGTGGAAGCCCTCCGAATGGGCTGAGGTGCCCACAGAGACCGACGTGGTGCCCTAACCCAATGTAGATTGTGGGGCTGTCCTCAGCCTCAGACATTTCGCTGCCACCGCCGCGAAATAATTCTTTGCAATTCCACTTATAGGTTGTTTACGTCCGAAAGTGAAGTGGTGTTTGCCCAAACCTTTTGATTGGGTTCGATCCACTGGCGGATCCAGGGGGGGGGGGGCCACGGGGGCCATGGCCCCCCCCCCCCCCCCCCAAAGGCCTAAAGTGGCCTGTTTGCCCCCCCCCCAAAACGCCAGAAAAATTGCTAAGAAAATATACCTTGATGGAGGTTTTTAGCCATTTGGTGAAGTAAAGCTTTCCACAGCATAATATGGAAGCAATATAGTAGCAGTGAGGGTCAGTCAAAAGTTGCGCGAGCGGAGTCGACCTTAAAAAAAAAGACTGTTGTTGGCACGTGTTTATGGCGCGGCAGCTGGTAGTTGGCGGTGTTTCGCGTGGTGTGGCATCACTGGCGGATCTGGGGGGGGGGGGGAGGGGGGAGGCACGGGAGCCTGAGGTGCCCCTGACAGGCCCGTGATGCCCTTGCTAGGCCTGTGGTGCCCCTGGACCCTGGCAGGCCTGTGGTACAGTCCACAGCAGAAGTAATGTGGGGTTTCAGTCATGGGTATGTTCTGCTTCTGAAGCTTAGGAACGATTAGCCAGACTACAATGAAACTTTGAATGTAGCTTATACACCTTCTTCTTTTCAATCACTTCTTTGACAGAAAAAAAGACATCTTCTTTTCAATCACTTCGCATTAAACAATCGCCAGTCAAAGCCAACCGTTGAGTTTGGTAAAACCCTACATTACTTTAGCGGTGGGCTGTACCTCTGGCGGGCCTAGGGTGCCCCTGCTAGGCTGCTGATGCCCCTGGGACCTGACAGGACTGTGGTGCCCCTGACAAGCCTAAAGTGCCCCCAACAGGCCCGTGATGCCCCCGACAGGCCCAAGGGGCCCCTGCGTGATGCCGTGATGCCTGCGAGGCCGGTGGTGCCCCCTGCGAGGCCGGTGGGGCCCCTGACAGGCCCATGGTGCCCCTGCTAGACCGGTGGTGCCCCTGGCAGGCCTGTGGTGCCCCTGCTAGGCCGCTGGTGCCCCTGGGCCCTGACAGGACTGTGGTGCCCCTGACAGGCCCAAGGTGCCCCTGCAAGGCCGGTGGTGCCCCTGTAAGGCCTGTGGTACCCCTGCTAGGCCTCTGGTGTCCCTGACAGGCCCATGGTGCCCCTGCGAGGCCGGCGGCGCCCCTGGCAGGTCTCTGGTGTCCCTGACAGACCTGGGGTGCCCCTGACAAGCCTGCGGGGCCCCTCACAGGCCCGTGGTGCCCTTGCTAGGCCTGTGGTGCCCCTGGCGGGCTGGTGGTGCCCCTACTAGGCCGGTGGTGCCCCTGACAGGCCTGTGGTGCCCCCGGGCACCAAGGGGGTCATGACCCATGTGGCCCCCCTTGGATCTGCCACTGATGCATAATATATTGATTTGTAAAGGCGTTATGGCTTATGCAATATGCAATTGCAGGCACTTGGTATCCCTCACTTATCCCTCATTGGGGCTCTGGCGGGCTCCTGAGGGCCCACGTCTATCTCCGGGAGCCCATATAGACAGGCTCCTTTGGGTCCTTTCAGTACACTATAGCATAAGAGGTCTCCATGCGAGTCCTATACATACATCTGAGGGCGTACCCTGATGTCTGAGGTACCCAACTGCAGCTCCAATGGTCTCTTCTTACACTGGCGGATCCAGGGAGGGGGCATTTAGGGCCATGTCCCCTTCCCAGAGGCCTAAAGTGGCCCGTTTTCCCCCTCCCCCAAACGATAATGAAACATAGTTCAATCAGGGCGTGGCCCAGGAGCCGAGTTAGACAGGGCTGTTTTACCACCTCCCGGCCCGCAAAGGGACCCAAGCACTGACTCGAAGCGGGTTAAAGAGACCCTCCCACCTTCAAAAAAGTTAATGAATTGGCATGAAAGTGATGTCGCTAGGTTCAGAAAGGGCGAAAACGAATATCTACCAAATTTTATAGAAAAATATTCACCGGTTTTCAAGAGATTAGACTTTTATTTTTGTTTACTTTTTGGGATATCCGCTGCTGTTCCTAACGACTTTATTTGAAAGTGCGGCATTTGTTGCGCGCAAAGCAGCCTATACCACCGCATGCTACCAAACGTTTTAGTAAAATATTAAGAAATCATTAGATCTCCGCTGACGTCACACATTCAGAGGGGTATCCAAAAGCATTAGCCCCTCTGAATCAAAATGCTGCAATTTTGAAATTCAATATTTCCGATTTAAGGCATTTCTCGATGTTGTGAGTGCGTGCCGAAACCGGTAATTGTGAGCCAGGGACCCCATTTTGGCTATCTCAGCTCAAATCTAATGTTAAGGTGGGAGGGTCCCTTTAACTGGTCGATAAAAACAATGGTAAGTGTTTACAAAGTAATATAAAGGTATGGGTCGGGTGGGCTACCATTTATATATTTTTCTTTTTAGTTAAAAAAAAAATCATAGTGTCAGGGCTGTGACGAAAAATAAGTGGCCTAAATCCGATGAGAAAACAGGATTTGGGGGTACCCTAGGTTTGGCTCCTGCATGAGTTGCCCCCCCCCCCCAAAACGCAAGCCTGGATCCGCCAGTGGTTCGATCGAACTACAGGCGTTCCCGTTTAGCAATATCAACAACCACACCACGTCTAGTTTCAATTTTGGACAACAGCGGGCAGTAGCGTCGCCCCTAGGTGTCGCTTACATCGACCTGCGTCCGCGGGGCGGCGCTGGCGTCACCGAGCAGTCGCTGTAGGTAGGCCCTCCGGTGGCTGGTGCCGTCAATGTCGAGTAGTTCATCCAGATCCAGCTCTGCCTGGTCACTCTGCCAAGGGACAAAGGGTTGGTTAGCCAGATGATACGGTTAGCTTGGACCCGGGTGGCCCTGGTAGTCCTTTGTACTCAGGGCTGGCCACCCAAATAGCATAATCGGGTCTCTCACTGAAGTTATACACGGTGACGCAACACACAACACAGACCGAACGGTCACCCACTTGACTGAAGAAGGTGTTGCAATGCAACCCCTTTCGACAGATTTGCAATGCCGAGCATTGATATCGAAAGATAAAAGGTGATAGATACTGACGCCTGAGTTACGAAAGTTACCATTACGGCCACTGAGGGTAGGACAATTTTTTCAGCCAGATACTAAGGTCACCTAGGTCATCTTGAAAGCTATTGAGGTTACAAAGGTCACCCTGAAGGTCACAGAGCTCGTGCTGTCCATCACTGAGGTCTGGGGGGTTACTCTGAGGCCACTTATTGGCAACTGAGATTACAAAGGCGGCAATGCTGCAGGCTCCTTGCAGCTGAGTTGCTCGCCCTGCAAATAGCATGATTTTGTTATTTCTTCATATGCTACCACGCTAATTTCAAGAATTCATACTACTTGCTAAGAAAACTCGAAATCCATCTGATCAAAAATCGATCGTTCGTAAACGCCAAGTTTAACATCGGACTCGGCACACCTCTGACCTAATGGTCCCATGAGCTGAGTACCTATTAACCCTCGCCCGCACATGCTATTTTCCCATCCTAGAACGCACATGGGGGGGGGGTTGCCACCCCCCCCCCCCCCGCGCCATTTCGTTCCTGTTGGAGATAGAGCTTAGCGGTAAAGATCAAAAAGATTCTTTGAGAAGAGACGAATCCAATGATACCCAGTTTTACCTTCTCAGGTCAGTCATTGACCTTCCAGGTCAGGTCAAACTAAAAAATGTTGCTGTTTTGGGTCACCGTTGGATATCAAGTAGGTACGCTGCTTAGCATAAACCGATGACGATGCTGTTTTCTGGTGCGAAGCCAGCTAGAACCTCTTTGTCACACTACCCGACCAGATTTTTGCTGCTGAGGTCATTTCAGGTCAAGTAAGGTCAAGGTCAATTATATGTGTTTGTATGTCTGTGTGTGTCTGTGTGTATACTGATGTGTGCACCGATTGTTTTTGTGTCCATATTACATGAAATCATGATCTGAGAAGCTTTTACCAAAATTGCAGTCAAAAAACTTCACAAAAAGTAAATTCAGCTTGCCTAAAACGCAATTGTCTTAGATGACCTAGGCTGACCTTGACCCTGACCTTGACACCTGTACATCGTTGAACAACATGTTCCATGATAGGTGGGAGGTAAGACTGGCAAAAAAGGCCGAAATCAAGGCGTCAAAAGCTCATAAGGCCCATGGCAAACGCAAGGTGTTGAGAATTGGCCATTTGGGTCATGACATGACCTGGAAAACAAGGTCATATCTCCGAAACCAACAAGCACAGAAACTTGAAATTTTCAGTGGACATCAAGAAAGGATAGAGGAGCAGCTATACGAAAAATCAGCCTTCTAGCTAAAAAAAATGTTGAGTGCAGAGCAGAAAGACTACCTGGGGGGGGGGGGTGTGTGGCAACCCCCCCCCCATGTGCGGGCGAGGGTTAAGTAATCGTTCATGGTAATAGAAGCACGCATCTCTTCATCACAAAGTTGTTATACCTCCATAGTCCATCATAATTCATCCTGTATACTGCGTACCATACAGGTATCATGTTAAAGGGACCCTCCCACCTTCAAAAAAGTTAATGAATTGGCATGAAAGTGATGTCGCTCGGTTCAGAAAGAGCAAAAACGAATATCTACCAAATTTCATCGAAAAATATTCACCGGTTTTCAGGATATTAGACTTTTACTTTTGTTTACTTTTTGGGATCTCCGCTGTTCCTAGCGACTTTATTTAAAAGTGCGGCATTTGTTGCGCGCAAAGCAGCATATACCACCGCGTGCTACAAAACGTTTTAGTCAAACATTTAACGGACGTTCGAAAGCCTGATGACGTCATCAGATTCCCGTAATGGTTAAGAGATAGGGACCACGCTGGTCCCACCCTGCAAGTAAAGGGAAGAAATTTCTTGAACACCATAAAGCTGCGGGGATTGCGACCAGGATAAATGGTGGTTTCTGAGCCTGGCCGCAAACTTGGCTATCTCAACTCAAAACTAATGTTAAGGTGGGAGGGTCCCTTTAAACCATCGCCTGCACATGGGGGGGGGGGGTTGCCATCCCCCAGGTAGTTTTTCTGCTCTGCACTTAACATTTTTAAAGCTAGAAGCCTGGTTTTTCGTAAAGCTGCTTCTCTATCTTTTCTCAGCGTCCACTGAGAATTTCAAGTTTCTGTGGTTTTTGGTATCGGAGATATGACCTTGTTCTTCAGGTCATGTTATGGCCCAAATGACCAATACCCAATATCTTGCGTTGGCTATGGGTCTTGTGGGCTTCTGACACCTTTATTTCGGTATTTTTTGCTAGTCTTACCTCCCACCTATCATGAAACATGTTATTCGACGATGCACAGATGTCAGGGTCAAGGTCAAAGTCAACCTAGGTCATCTAAAAACATTGCATTTTAGGCTAGCTGAATTTACTTTTCGTGAAGTTTTTTGCTGCATTTTTTTGTAAAAGCTCAGATCATGATCTCATGTAATTAGGGACAGTGGACACACAAACCAATCGGTGCACACATCAGCATACACACAGACACACACACAGACATACAAACACAAATCATTGACCTTGACCTAACTTGACCTGAAATGACCACAGCCAGTAAAAAACCTAGTCGGATAGTGTGACAAAGAGCTGTTCTGGCTGGCTTGGTACCACAAACGGCAGCGTCATCGGCATATGATGGGCACAGCACGTGATATTTCAATGGTGGCCCCAAACAGCAACATTTTTTAGTTTGCCTGACCTGGAAGGTCAATGAAAGCTCATGTGATACCTAATGAGGTAAAATTGGATTCCATTGGATTTGTCTCCTCCCAAAGAATCTGTTGGTCTTTGCCACTAAGCTCTATCTCCAGCAGGAACGAAATGGCGCGCGCGGGGGGGCACCCCCCCCCCCCATGTGCGTTCTAGGATGGGAAAATGGCTTTGCGGGCGAGGGTTAAAGTAGGTACGAGTTATAAAGACCTGGCGGCTGGCTTTGATTAAAAATAACGCAGGTGTCGACTGTTCGATCAACTCCGTTCTGATTGGAGCTATAAGTGTCATATATCTGACACATCCGGCTTAACAATTTGACTCAAGGGTCCATCTAATGTTAGCATATTTAGAAAACGATAAGACACATGTGCGCCTCCTTGTTGTAACCATAAGGCGTTGGCTGCTCGCGATATCGGATTCGATTGCGTAGATTGCATGTGGTTGTTGAGTATGACCGATAAACCAGCCAGCGAAAGCAAAGGACCCTCGGAAGGATTACAGTGCAGTGTTGACTCATTCCTTCGTGCTCATGTCACTGTTGTCTGTGATAACCCTGATCCACTTACAATCTCCGTAATTGCGAGGGTCCTTGTAGCGTCCTATGAAAGCGCCTTTACATAGTGCAGTTTCGCATGTAGGAATACAGAAGCAATATAGTGATTGTCAGGAAACCATGTACCGCTATTATCTACCGAGAGACATCTGAGGCCTCTTGCACCAAAATCCTCTTGCACCAATGCTTGGATTATTTTGCATCGTATACCCAGTCCAAGTCTCAAATGTAACAATTTGCGTGCAAAATTTAGCAAGCACATATAGGATTATATATTGGGCTATTGCAAACAAATTTACCACCGTTAGATTAGCTTATTCTGAAACCAGTTTTTCGATTTTACCTAGCTAGGTAGTTTGGTGCAAGAGGCCTCTGCTCTCTCAAATTGTCATTGAGAAAGAGCATTGCACAAAAGAGCTTTACTGCACAGAAACACGGTCGCCAACAATGCTATGCAACAATGTAACAAAAAAATTTTCAATATAATATGTATTCAAAGAGCTATCCTGGAATGCTGGTTCATTTATTTTCCGTCTCGGATTAGCCAGTGTCAACTTAGCTGGCACCTTCCGAGCCGTCTGTCCGGACAGCCTTTGTCCTGGCTCGGCTGAAACTACCCACAGTATACAGCCGCCTTGTCTCCGGTTCCGGCGTGCCATTGTGCGAGTCCTGTGAGCCGTCAGCTCGACGGTGACCGGGCGTTTCTCCGCAGAACGCTCTGACACGGGTGGACCCGTCCCGTCCGAGGTCGCTGACCTTTAGCGGGGTGGCATGTGATACTGCTGACAGCGTGACCGAAAACCGATAGTGAAGTAGGAGTGTGATGAAATTGTCACCTGGGTGAGATTGCCGGACGAAAACGTATTGCATCAGAGGTGTACAAAAATATATCATGCGTCATGACAAGTGCCTCGAGGGATCATAGATGGCTTATGACAGGCATCCTCTAAATTACATGGTATACCATAATCATACACCTCCTTCGAGCATTTAACCGTCAGAGACTATCCTGTTGCAAAGTGCATATCCTTCTGGAATCTGGAGTGACCGTTTGAGGGGCTAGACGATCCAATCCTCCGGGACATGCCTGTCTTATCGGGATGGGCCGGGTCATGGCATGCGTTTTACCAGTCGATGGTCAATTCAGCATAATGTATGTTTCGTATTGATCATGCCTTCCTAGCATAGCGAAATGCTAACAAAATGGACCAAAATGAACCCAACAAAACAAATAACTATTAGTCGGAAACGGCAGAAGTACAATGAGAGTACCTCCTCGGGTCCTCGGAAAATCCATGATCAGTGCTGCCCCTCACAACTCTCACCGGCTGGCAGTTGTCGTACAGTTTGGCCATCTCGTCCAGAAGCCACATCTCGACTCCGAGTCGTTTTCTGATGAGCGCCATCTGGTGAGCTCCGTACTTGGCCGTCAGATACTTCTTACGGCCGTCCATCCGACTGTCTCCGTCCTCGAAATTCACCGCCTGAGGGCATGGTCACCGGTCAGACGTTTGCATGAGTCGGGCCTGACTCACGAGAAAGGCTATAAGCAGGGTATATTGGGCTATAGGTACGTACACCTTTTTACGGTCAAATATAGACATTGTGTTCACACTTCAGTAATAGTGCAACCGATTTCAACAGTTCGCCATAGACAGACTATGCCGTACTGTCGAAATCGGCTGCACTATCACTGAAATGTGAGCACTGCCGCCTAAATTGGGCGTAAAAGGGTGTAGACTGCTCAGCTAAACATGGTTTAACCGAAAAAAGGCTAAAACGAGGTATTAGTTACTAGGAATGAGGCTGGCTAAGATTACCTGAAATGGCATTGAAGTCAAATGCATAAGTATATTGTCTATCGGTAGTTTTACTCCTAGCATTTTCATTGCCTTGTTTGCTAAGACGTAATTTCTCGTGAATGACATGATATGATACGTCCAAGAAAAACTGATGTGACCACTTGACGATACAATAATGGACGAGAAAATAATTAAAATTTCAATTCAGAATACGTTGCAGAAACTATGCTGAGTTCAAGAATTGCATTGAATTGCAGCCGTCCTCATTACATAGGCAACAGTCCCCATTCCGCTGGGCTTTAACATGGGCTGTATAACTGAGTTGCTGCACCATGATTCATGAGCTATTTAAAACGACCAAAACCGTTGTAATTTTCCGCACGGGAACTCCTTCCGCAATAAGCCATTCGCTCTGGCTGAAGCTCGCCTCACACCGGCGCCCAAACACAGCAGCGCGCGGCGGTCCGAGGTCAGCGGACCCGGCCTTTCTGCGTCTCACCGACCTTGGAGGACTTGGCCGTCTTGCTGTCCAGCATGGTGTCGGCGTGCTTCCCGGCGGGGACGTAGCCGGCGGGGATCCCCACCTCCATCACACACGGCTGTGAAAGAGACGGAGACTGTCATACGCCACGCACGAGGGATGAACAAGGCTGTATGCTTCAGAGGGAGCGGTGTCACCGCGCGGAAAGGGGCAGTGCGCACGGAACTGTCTAGGCTTTTACATGGGGATGACCGGAGCAGTCGGCTACACCGGAGGGGAGGAGGGATTCCGGAGCTGTATGTTATACCTACGGGGATTGCATCGACAAAGCATTGACAAACGATTGGGCTGCACCGTTTGAAACGGTGACAGTGTTACGTTATCGATGGTCTGTTACTATGTAATTAATAGCCCCTATAGGCATTTGTGCTATCCGATCCATGGATAGCACAAATGCCTACAGGCCTAAAATGTGGCAATTCACTTCACACATCTTACACGCTTCGCATAATAGCAGCGAACATCAAAACAAGAATCGATCAAGCAAGTTCTAGACATTCCCGCATCCATCAACTAGGTTAACCCGCGCGGGGCTGGGGTCTCCAGCCGAACGCGCGGGGCTGGGGGGGGGGGGGGTAAATTTTACCCCCCCCCCTGTTATCTCCCGAACTAATGGTCCGATTTGGAAAATTCAAACGCCAATCGAAAGCTCTCATCACGAACTACTAATAACATGTACTTAATTTAAAGTTTGAGGTCAAGGTCAAGGTCAGGTCAAGGGTACAAATTGCAAGTTTCTACAGTATCGGCCTTGCACCGTAGTTGCCGAAAAATGGAGTCATGGACTGAGACTGATCGCCCAAAACGTGTTCTTAGGCTACCAAGACAATATTCGTTGCATACCATATCATTCAGAGGTCAAGGTCAAGGTCAGGTCAGGTCAGGTCAGGTCACCAAAAAACAAAATATAGAAAAGGGCATGTGCGACACATGTTTTATGGGTCATTTTACTCATAGAATTCAATAGGCACACTCAATAAGTGATATGGACCACCTCTGGATGAATTTCAGGTCGAGGTCAGGTCAAGGTCAGGTCAAGTGAGGTCAAATTTTGAAGTTGGTTGTTCAGGCCTAAAAAGGTGTCTATCTGATGCAGTTTTTCACGGCGAATCGAATGGTGCTATTTTTGTTTCCGTACGAGGTCTAGAACTTTCAAAAAAGTCATTTTTCAAAAATTTTGTGTGTCGTGACGTCATAAAATTTTGAATAACTCCCACATTTTTGAACCGATTCTTCTAAAATTTGGTATGTAGGTGCACATAGACCACTTCTCTGACATATATTCCGGTTTTTTCGATAGACCCAAAATTTTGGATTTTATAATGATTTTCCCAAAAAAGTCAGTTTTTTGAAAAAAAAAAATTAGGCCAAAATCCAAAATTTTCAAAAAAAAAACCGAGATAGCCATTTGATAGACAAAGTAAAATTACGTATAACCTTTTTTGTAACGTCTTGATTCCTTTAAAAATGAAGATGTTAGCGGCGTTTGAACTTTTGCCGTTTTTGAGGCGAAAATGGCAAACATGACGTCACTAAAACGTCATTTCTCAAAAAATTTCCGACGGATTTCGCTCAAATTTTCAGGGAACGTGTCAAATTGATGTAAGAAAAGGTACTGAAAGTTTGGCGGCGCTGCGCGCCGCCGTTTTTGAGATATCGCAAAAATTCGCGAGGGGGGTAAAATTTACACCCCCCAGCCCCGCGCGGGTTAACAGCGGCGTTACACCACCATAAATCATAAAACATCCATGCATTGCATTGCAGACCACTGTCATTCATCACTGAGACGTGTGCCACATATGTACTGCATGTAACTGCGGACTGATGACTGATGAGGGTACATCCTAGGTCGGCGGCACGGTACCGAATCACGTCTACCCGGACGCGTGCCACTACCAGAGTGGCGAATTCAGCTGGGAACTCTAGCGCCGTTCGGCGTGTGAACCCTCCATTAAAGTACCACCGTCCTGTGTGGTTAACTCGGGAACATGGAGAGGACTCAGCGATCCATCATAGGTGGATTCAGGCCAGTCCACCGCGTGATGTGCCGTGCCTTCATTACCAGCTAATTCGGTGAGAAAGTGTGCGTTTTCTAAATTGATGACTTCAGTCGCATATTGTCGGTGCCAAAATAGGTTAGGTGTGAAAGTGAACGCTGCTGATTGAAACTTTCTTATGGAAATAAAATCATTTCCTATCGATAGATGGTCACCCATACAAAGTTACATGCCGAGATGATACGACTTAGATCTATTTTGAATAAATTACCCTCATTTACAATTAAAAGATATAATTGGTTACAATGGTATCAGACAAAAGACGGCACAAAAAAACCCTAGGAGTACGGAAGCACAATTCGTAAATGGTCTTTTGCTCGCTTATAGGTATCGCAAATCAAACTAATCATTATATTAATGCTCTTCGATAAGACCGTAAATTTGATCCTCCGCATCCTCGCCAGCTTCGAGCAACATTCAATGCTCAACGCTTTAATGTAAAGAAGGTCATATTCTACCTTTAAAAGGTAGATGTATAGGGCCTTGAGTAAATCGAGCTTCTCTTCTGTAACTACATATATCGAATATTTGTATCAGGAAACGTCTTCCAAAGGCTTCTTTTATGGATTGGGGTTGAGGTTGAGGTTAACCCACACACTCACGTTTCGACCGCCACTACCAGCAGCTCCCGCTCGGTTTCGACGCTCCCGTCCAGCTATGACCGTCACGCACACTCACGCACACACGCACACACGGTCCGACGGTACCGCTGGGCCGCCCGCAGCTCTGTCCGAGCTGGCTGCAGCTCCACGGCGGCGAGCTGAGGCTGTCACAGCTCTGTGTCGACTGACGGCCACATTCCCAGCTGTGGCCGCGCATGGTACGCCACAACTCGGCCACTATTCGGCCGTGGATGAGCGTGACGGATCCAGAGGCGTACCGAGCTCGCGTCCAGCTCTCTGGGCGGGGAGAACTCGCGCGGTGTTCCTTATGAGCTGAGCTGAGACGGTGAGGGTCTAGCGACCTACCCTGATGGTTTCTGGTCAATTTAGACACCTGCCCTGCTCCAAGACGGTCCCGGGACTATCACCCCATGCGTGACGCTCCTGGCGCCGCCATTGCGTCAGGGGCGTCACCGGTCACGGCTGGCTGCCTCCCGGGCCGTGTGACATTGGTGGTGGGATCAGCGGCGGGCGGGGCGCGGCGGGGGTGCACGGTCCCTCCCCCCACCACGCCCCAGCACGGCCCGGGAGCTGCGCAGCATACCGAGCTCGCCGCGGCCTCCTGCAAGGCTCCGTAATATTGTTCACTTCCTTCTCCTGTCAGACCGGCTCGGCGGACCGTGAATGGACTGCCGCTACCGTGCGGGGGCTGGGGAAGGTACTGCAATGCAGGCGCACTGAAAGTTTGGGAGAGAAAAAAAATTGCGCATTCTGAGAGGGAATTTAAATGCGTGCCACGGTCTTCCGCAGGGAGATGGAGTGACGCAAGAGATGCTAGGCATCACAGCATACATCCTCAAAGAGTTATGCTCGGAGTGGAGAAGTAAAGACGTGCCTGTCACGTTGCGCCTCATTAACAGGTTAATGACGCTCCTGGGGCACTGAACCGTCGGCAAAGATTAACCTCGTCTCACGGGCGGGGCTGAGATTTGTTATAGACGTTAGGCAAATTATAGGGCAGGGATATGCAGGGACGCAATGTCTACAATTCCCTCTCATTTGCATAATTAGGTGCATCATTATACATTTGTATGCGTCGAGCTATTAATGTGTCATTCATGCATCATCCGTGTTTTTTAACTGCGCCAGGCTATCCGTGGGCTTTTTTGCAAAAAAAGTGCGGCTTTAAACTTCCTCACTGCAATTTTATGGCATTAGGTCATTCGATACAGTCTAAACGAATGTGCTGATAATCATCCGGGTTTGTTAAATGTGCAATTACTGCACCTTTGCTCGTCATTACAGGATGCTTTTTGCCTAACATTGCAAATGAATCCAGAAATGTGCATCAGCACGGTTTTTGTTTCAGGGTGCCGTTTGATTGTAACAATATCTGACGCATCTCAGGCTTGACACACCAGCTCGTCGGTGTATGTTGCTATGGCGCCTTCGGATATGGATTTGTTATGAAGAGGATGTTATGTAGTATGTATGTTGTTATGTAGTATGTCGGGGCCTTCACATGTCCTGAAACACTTGAAACAGCAGTCTCTGGGCGGTAAAGAGCTCGTTTGTAGCCATTGTTGCAGGATGCATTGTTTGTCTATCTCTTCGCGGTAAAAATAGGGATGCTGCATACTTCAAGGCGGAGTATTACATCCGACAAACGAGGACAGTCAACGAAACATTCTCGATATTTCCCTTCCAGTAACTAGAATTTGTTATTCATTTTTTGTTGTTCTCACTCATCTTCCTTCAGCTACTTTCCTCGTTCACAATATTCTTCCTCGCTGCTGACGGTGGCTGAAATTTCCCGAGTCCTTCTCCCACCCGCACCCTCCCCTCCCCACCCCACCCCGCAGGCTCCAGCCAGCCTCGTCGATCCAGCATCGATCGAACCACCGCCGCGCCGCCGCCGCCGCCGACGACGGTACCGACGCCACGCCGGGTCGGTCAGCTGCGGCCGCCGCACCAATGCCGACCATGGCGGCGGCGGCGGCGGTGCGGGCGCTGGCGGTGGTGACCTGCCTCCTCCCCGGCCTGGCCGGAGGGGTGAGCCGGTCCTCCGACTGTCAGGAAGACTTCCTCATCCGCGACGGCACCATCATCCGAACGGTGGACTCGCGCCGGCGTGGAGCCACTTTCCTAAATAACACGGAGGTAACGGAGACGTCACACTGCCTGGAGGCGTGCTGTGACCGAGCGCACTGCAACGCCGCCATCTACGACCAAAAGGTGAGCAATGTGAACGGGTCTTCAACGGTGGGAGGACATTGTTGGGAGATCTGCGCCCAGAGAGTAACTTTTGTAGTGATTTATCGTCATGAAGGGTCAATGAGCTTAGTTCATGGATACCTTCCCGGCTAGTATGTAGCTTACATAGAGGTTACTTTGCATGC